TGTTTTGGAAATATAAAAAAATTAAATTAAAAATAGTTATAAGGTTTTAATTCTAGATAGTGATGAAGTAGGGGGTCTCAAAAAATTTGCACCTGATCATTCCCATGATTTTGAGCCCACCCAATAAGCTGAATAATATATAGAATTTTGTGATATGAGTGGAACGAATATTAAATGTTAAATATGAACAATACAACACTCAGATTTTTAACACACACTTTAATTAATAACTACAAACATTTCAAGACCATGGTATGCCTCATCAAATGTAATTTAAATAAAATATTAAAGAATGTGTAGTATATAATTAACTGTTTTGAAATTACACTGAAGATGAGGCATACCATGGTCTCGAAACATCTGTAATTATTAAATAAAGTGTGTGTTAAAAATCTGAGTGTTGTATTGTTCATATTTAACTGTTAATATATATATATATATATATATATATATATATTATTAATATAGAATAATGTCACAACTCTGAATTGCATACAAGATAAAATTTTTTTTTCACGAAATAGACTTTTTCCAATAAAATGCTATTCTAGATTTTTTTAAAAAATAGTAAAAATTGGAGTTTGGGAATGAAGAGAAGAAGTTCATACTAATGAGAAGACTCTGTAAAAATTAAGTTAATTCAGTCCAGTAGTAATTGAGAAATCGATGGTATCGTAAGACAGTTTCGAGAAAAACTCATCTCGAAGAACACTAGCTGAGGAGGATTATAGTCAAACAGCAATATCTCCAAAAATAATTTAAATTTAAAAAAATCCTCTTGTACACATATTCTTAAATAGTTATAGCTTGAAAATACATTACAAAAAAAGATTTATTTGAAGTGCTTGACTAGATTATCCCCCTAAGCTTTTTTAATAATTAAACAAACTGTAGCTTTCATTTTATCCTTCATGTAACTATTTTTACCTCACAGGTTTCCGTTGACCAGTTCATTGTCATGTGTGTACAAATACAGAGGTTCACAGAAGCATTCAGACAACGAGATTCCCAACAAACAGGAACCATAACAATAGCTTTCGAAGATTTTCTCAATGTTGCTTTAAGTTGTTCTATTTAAAAAAAAATCATTGTTAACAATAAAGATTTAAAAATTTTCATAAGTATTAAATAAATTTCACACACAACTTTGTGTATTAAAAGGGTTTTTATTATCAATTAGTTAATAAAATAACTACTAAAATTGTAAATGAAATTTTTATTGTATATATAAAATTGAAATACCTACATTTTGTATGCAGATGTTATAACTGATTGTAAGTGAACCAATTATTGTAAGGAATATGGGACGCCATATTTTCACTCATTTTTTTACACTTTAACTATAATGTAACAGAAATTATAGTGTTATTCCATTTGTACAAACATTATCACTAACTCACTGATGCTAACTGAATTATGAATATTTTTTTAGCTTCATCATATGGCGCCCTCTATGTCCAAATGGTTAACTATCAATATACAACAAGTGGTTCCAAACCCAATGAGATTAAGAATTTTATTGAAATGTGTAATTTATTGTAGAACAAAATTTTGTTTGCTTATTAGCTTTAAATGCATGTATTTTTAAACTAATTATTTAAAGAAAAACATTAAGAAATGCTTTATATATGCTTGTGTGATATATACATTCCTAAACAATTGCATATATACTGTGTTTATGCTTCTTAATATTATTCAATTTTATCCAGATTTAAACTTAGATTTAGATTCATGGTAAGCCTAATAATGATTTCAAATAAAGACTCAATTACCTGATTTTCAATTTTCTGTTAACGCATACTTGTTTTAAAAATTGTATAAATATGATTAGTTATTGTTTATGGCATGGAATTTGAATAAAATTGTATTGGCAAATTTGTTTAATTGTTTTTATCTTTAAGTGTATATATTAGTTAGTCTTATTTCATTTTCCATGACCCCACATTTGTTATAACTTAAATAAGAATTTTATGTTTTCACCAGAAAATTATCGTCTTCTCGTCATTCTGAATCGTTTTATACCAAAATTGGTAAAAATACGTAAAAATTTCACCTTTTGTTCAATGTTTTCTCAAAAATGCCTGCACTGGTTTCAAAAATTGTAAACCCATTTGATAAAACTTCACGAAGGCTTCCTATGATTAGTTTTATGCAATGATCGGCCCAGCTGTTTCTTTACAATTCGCAAAGAGTCCTGAATACGAAATCAAAAACTGTTTGAAAGATATCAGTTGGTAATCATGCTGATTAACGTTTGGTGAAAATCAGACGAGACGTTTGTACTTGATTGCTAAGGAAATAAATTCTGATTGGCTGTTCATCTGTGCAATGTGTGTATTTGTGCAATTGAATAGCCGAGTTTGCATGAAAACACATCATTATACATATATTATTATTATTTACACATATCAATGAAAAATTCATGCTTCTTGTCGTAAGACAAAATACAATTTTTATTTACCCATATCAAAAAAAGTGCAACTTGCCTTAAAACAAAATTGCATTTACACCTAGTTTGGGGTATCACGATTATTAAACTTATGCATTTGTTATACAAAACTTGTAAATAGACTGCAAATAATTGGAAACACAAAAATATTTCTATAAGGTTTAATATTTTTATCTAATTTTCAAAAGTTGAAACTAATAGAGAATTCATGTAATATTAAGACCAAATAGTTATATGTAATTTATATATAACTTACATATATATATTATGAAATTTACATATACTGTTCAAAAAATTATAAATTATTTTCAAATGATTTCTTTAAATGAAGTAGCAAAGTCATTTAAAAATAACATATTTTTTTTAAAGAAAGTGATTTTTATTACTTATAGGATGTCTGATTGAACACATTTTAGAAATAAATGCTACTGAAAATAATCATTACAGTTTTATTTTAACTTACCTTACATTATTTTGAACTCTTGCCAGCAACGATTTTATTATAATCCATATTAATGCATGCTCCAAATGTGGATCACAATCCTAAATCACAACTCAATTCCCTGAAGCATAAAGATGAATAAATAAATGATAAATTTTAACACATTAATTATTGAAGCAGAAAAACTTTTTTTTATCTCAGATCATCTATCATCTTTATCTTTCTTATTTACCCAAATATATATATATATATATATATATATATTTTTTTTTTTTTTTTTTCTGGAAATGTTTATTCTTCTTAGGTGAAAATCATTTGCACGAGTTTGAGTTTTGTATTTATTAAAGCCTTTTCTTTATCACCTTCTTGGTTCTTTTTTTCTCTTCAACTGTATAAATATATTAAGTCACACATATAAATCAAATTTGATACTTAGGGAAAAGTTGTATAGACACTATTTTTCATTCCATATTATAATTTATGTTTATTGTATTTCCTAATCCCAAACATCGTTTTTTCTAATTTCTCCTCATCACTTTCAATAATGTTTAAAACAGATATTGACAAATATAATTATATTTTACACTTTATACATTCTATTTACATATAGGATTATAAACTAAATGCATGTTATACTTATAAAATTAATTTCAAGACAATCTAATTTCTAGTAATATTAACTATATAGTTAAAAATATTTAGGTGTTTGAACAATAAATGAATGCATTTAACTGCTTTACTATGGAAATCTTAATATCAGCACTTTCTTAAAATTAATTAAAATACGTTCTAATTATAAAATTCCTAATAATATACATCTTATGAATAAACCTAATACTAGAAGCATATTGTATATGCATCAAAAATGTTAAATTCTAAATACTACAATACGAAAATACAATCTAATTCATTACATATAAGATTATAATTACTATTGCAACAAATGGTAAATCTAATATTTAAAAAAACAAATATCACAAAATATCAAAAAAAAAAGAAGCATTACGACCACGTGCAATTATTTTGCATCTGGATTCTGGATTTCGAAAGATAGAAAATGTGATAACAGTCTTTTTATAAAGTTGCACGCCATTCAAATTATAAATAACAAAAATGCCAAAAATTGAATCAAAATAATAATATACTTTTGCTCAATCAAATATTCTAAAATAATTATTATTGCAACAAGTGGTGAATATAATATATAAAAAAATATAAGTATCACAAAATATCAAAAAAATAAAATATAACGATAACCCTTAATTAAATTTAATAAACTACCTTAAATTACTTGATGGTAGATAGATCTCTGGATTCCAAGAGATATAAAAATTGTGTAACAGCTGTTAACAGTCTTTTGTATTTTGAGTTGGATGTGAATCAAAATATAAAAAAAAAAATGACAAAAACTTGAATCAAAAAATTAATAAAACATAATAGTAACTTTTAATAACATTTCATCAACTATCTTAAAAATTATTTAATGGTCGATAGTTCTCTGGATTCCAAGAGATAGAGCAACAGCTGTTAACAGTATTCGGCATGTGAATCAAAGTATAAAAAAAAAAAATGAGAAGAACTTAAATAAAAAAAATAGTATACTTTTCCTGAATTTGATATTTATAAGATAATTAGTATTGCAACAAACGATAAGTGTTATATTTAAGAAAAAAATATATAAGTAAATATCACAAAATGTTAAAGAAATAAAATTTAACAAAAACCCTCAATTAAATTTAGCGAATGATCTTAAACCTTGTCACTTGTAAATTGCATAAGTAATACGTATTTTGGCGCCGGAAGAGTGATATACAAGTGCAAAGGGTTAAATTAAGGATTCAAAGAAATAGAAAAATAAATGAACTGGCAACAGTCTTATAAGAAGATACAGTTGCATTTGAATCAAAGTATAAAAAAAACAAAAATGACACAAAACTCAACTCAATAAAATAAAATACTTCCTCTTTCCTCCTCAATCCATTAACTTTTTAGGAAGTTTGGAAAATGGCCGCATTCTCTCTAAAATGAGCCCTACGTTGCGCCTTTTCTTCATCAAAAAAATTACAAAAAACTGATATAAATAAAATAAAATACTTCCTCCTTCCACCTTAATCCTTTAACTTTTTAGGAAGTTTGGAAAATAGCCGCCTTCTCTCTAAAATGAGTGATATACAAGCGCAAAGGGTTAAATTAAGGATTCCGAAAAATAGAAAAATAAATGAACTGGCAACAGTCTTCTTATAAGAAGATACAGTTGCATTTGAATCAAAGTATAAAAAAACAAAAAAGATAAAAAACTCAACTCAATAAAATAATATACTTTCTCTTTTCTGCTCGATCCTTTAACTTTTTAGGAAGTTTGGAAAATGGCCGCCTTCTCTCTAAACTGGGCCCTACGTTGCGCCTTTTTTTTTCAAAAAAAAAAAACAAAAAACTGATATAAATAAAATAAAATACTTCCTCCTTCCTCCTTCCTCCTCAATCCTTTAATTTTTTAGGAAGTTTGGAAAATAGCCGCCTTCTCTCTAAACTGAGCCCTACGTTGCGCTTTTTCTTCCTCCTGTCTTCGGCGTTCCATCTGCTCCTCACGAATCTCGTCGGCAAATTTGTTGGTTCTTTGCAGTTGCTCGATTTTGGCCTCGAAGAAACTCTTAGCGCCGCCAACGCCGACAGCATCGACGTCGATCTCGGTCAGACGAGCCAGCTGGCTTAAGCCGGAGTCGGTGATCAGTTCGCCGGCACGAGCTTTTCTAAAGAAAAACAACAACGGTTTTAATTTGGATAAACAGATAGAATATATTTAAAGCATATTTTTGACTTCCCGAAGGAGAAGTTTATGTTTTCATAAAAAAATTCGATCCGCTAATTTTATGTTATCTCGACGTTTCGAGCCATTCTGAATCGGATGAGACCAAATTTGGAAAAAGTATGTGTGCATGTGTGTATGTGAATAGATTTTTTGCTGTAAGTCGACGTTTTCTCAAAAAACGGCTGAACCGATTTCAAAAATTTAAAAGCCAATCGATGTATCGCGATGAGGACTAGCGTTCAGCCAAGCCGTTTTTTTGTAAATAGCAGAAGTGTGAAAAGTTTTCGTCCACGTTTTAGCCCGCAGTTCTGAATCGATTTTGAAAGTTCAAAAACCGTTCGAAAGATATTGGTTGGGAATCGTGCTGATGAGTTTTTGGTAGAGATCGGCCGGGCCGTTTTTTGTAATAAAGTATTGAAAATTTTTTTTCGACGATTTTATTATTATTTTTTTCACGGTAGATACCATAGTCTTCTAGATCATACTAAGATATTACGGCCCTACGACAACTCGTTTAGCTTTAAAAATTCGTCAAAGTTTGCAAAAATTAGTATCGTTTTTTTGGCATTTGTCAAAACTAGACCTTTGAAAGACGTTTTCTCAAAAACGCCTGTACCAATTTCTGAAATTTAAAAACCATTTAATGTATTTTAATGAGGACTATCGTTTGTCAGTTTTGTGTGACGATCTGCCGAGCCGTTTCTTTGTCATTTCGAAAGAAGTGTTAAACTTTTCATCCACATTTAAGCTGATACTACCGAATCGATTTTAAAAAATCAAAAACTATTTGAAAGATATTAGTAGGGAATGATACTGATTAGTTTTAGGTAAAAATGTACCAAGCCGTTTTCTGGTAATTCGTTGTTGAAAAAAAATTTGTGCCGATTTTAATGAATTTTTTTTGATGATATATATCATGGTCTTACACAACTTATTGAAATATTACGGCCTTACGACAAGCAGTTTAATTTTAAAAAATTATCAAAGTTTGAGAAAATGAGTAGTTTTTTTGACGTTTGTTAAAATCAAAATTAGACGATTTACTTGGTATAATAATAGAGTACCTGGTCTTAATAAACATACTAAACCATTAAAGTTCTACGGAAACTGGTTCAATTATAAAAATTATTGATTTGTGAAAATTTGCTTTTAGGAAATACTCCGAGTTAACGTCTTCGTTCGTTTTCAATTAGGTGTAATAAATCCACTTGGAATACTTTTAATCACTCATAAATTAATTTATTTTTTATGGATTAAGTTGATTAATTGCACATATCGATAAGTTCTTGTAACTTGTCTCAAGGCAAAATACCAATACCAACTAGTTTTATTATGATCGTTAGGTCATTTGGCAAACATTTTTTTTAATAATGTTGCAATTTCAGAATGTTTTTATAATTTACAAATATTTTATTACAAAACGCGATCCAAAAAACATATTATTAAAGTTAATCTAAGATAATGCAAAAGGAGCATAACAGTTTTCAGAATTCTGCGCAAATATTAAAATAATTATAATGAACAAATAAATAGAACAAATTATGATAAAAAATATCTTATTAAAATAAGAAATATGTAGCTACAAAATTCCAGAGTATGATGAAACTCTGATTGCAAATATTTCTGGAGACAAGAGTCTTTTTATATGATATGAAGAATTTCGATATCAAAATATTTTACATAGTTATTCTATATAAAAGCAAGGAAAATAATGCAAATAAACTTAAATTTGATTTACTTTTTAATTTCAGTAATTGTAAAATACTGTTGATTTTGTAAAAAATATGCATAACAATAATATAATATAATGTGTTAAAAAGGACGAATAATTTTGAATTTAAAATCATAAAACTGTTACAATAATATATTAGAATTGTAGTATTTAAATTTATCATAAATATATCTTCTAAAAAGTATTCAAATATAAATTTGAATAATAAAAAAATATAATTATTATAAAAATTACAATAACAAATTAAAATTGCAGAGCATTTGCATATAAAAATTGAAATCATATATTGTTGAAAATTCTTGACAATTGAAATTCCATTTCTCAGAATTTACATATTCTCATTAGATTAAACGATTTTCAATATACAATTGATTAACTATACCTGAAGATAAGCAGGAACTCTCTGAAAGATATTTTTTGATCGAAATCTTCGTCTACTTCTTGAATCATAGCTTTAAGTCCTAAATGGGTCTGAGGAGCTCCTAATTTCTCCATCATGCGTTTTAATTCACCCAAATCCAAATATCCATCTCGACCTTCGTCATACCTGAAAATAAATTACAATTTCAGTAATTCTGTTGATTACAAAGAAACGACTTGGCCGATCGTCGCGCAAAACTGATTAACGAAAGTCTTTATCGAGTTATATGGAATGACTTTTAAATTTTTGAAATCGTTCCAGCCGCTCACATACCTTTTCCAAACTTGGTCTCATCCGATCCAAAATGACTTGGAACGTCGAAAAAACATAAAAATAGCAAATCGCTTTTTTTTCGAGAAAACAAACTTTTCTTTCGGTAAGTTAAAAATCGCCATTTAAAATTTATGAGCAGATGCATCACTCATTCTTTATTATGTACATTTAGTTTACACGGATTATCTGCTTTGTATTTATTCCAGAAAGGTTTATAAATAAATAATAAACATCCAAGATGAAAAACATTGAACATTTACCGAGTGGTTTATAACGAAGTGTTTATTATGTATACAACCTATATGTGCAGAAGATTTAATATATACACATACAACATATAACGATTTGTGTCTCGAAGTTCAAATATATATATATATATATATATATATATATATATATATATACATGTTTTATTTATGTGTGTGTGTTATTTTTGTTATTTTACAAATGTTGCAAATTAAATTATATCAATACCATCGCACATTGAAACAAATTTAATATGAGTTTCATTTTAATTATGATATATTTGAAATTTTATATTAACCCTTATTTTTGGGTCAATGCACGGGGCACCCAAAATTCACTTTAGAGTTAAGGTTTCTTCAGCAAAGTATCTTATTTTGATCCCTAGAATCTGAATATCATATGTGCCTAAGTGACCTTTAAATCGACCCGCATGAAAATTTTTTCATGCTATTTTCATATAAAACTTTGATTGAGTTGCGCTCTATCTAAAAAACAATATTAAGAGAGAAAATTTTAAGAAAATTATTTTTTATCAATTTGGAACCATTTGAGCCCTTGGGAGCAAGGAAATTCGAAAATGTCCATATTAAGGACCACCCTATATATATATATATATATATATATATATATATATATATATCAGATTGTGTGGTGTGTTAATATAATAACGCGCATATGTATAAAGCTCATATTGAAAAAAAACGAGGATAATGTTTCTCACATCTGCGAGCAAAAGCTTACGCACGTGCTTTTAGTATCAATATATACATATAATAAACTGAAGACCAAAATAACTTATTGATTTTCAAAGAACTATATACGTTAACACAAATATCGTAAGTCGGTGTTCGATTTATAAACAAAACAGAAACCTCTTCATAAATCAATAATTTCTCATTCTCAATATGTTTATTGACTTTATAAGTAATTCTTGGTAAAATGCACATCGTTTGAAGGACTCAAAATTAGATCAATCAACTGAAAATTTCTCATTCATAAATAAAAACTAGTGGGGCGCATGGCATCGTGCCTTAAGGCAAATTGCTAGAACTTCCCGTACCTGAAACTAAATTATTAAAAAAAAAACTTTGCAAAACTTTGAAACAATTGGATTTCTGAGAAACTTTGAAATTTTTGAAAAAAATAGATTTTTTTGAAAAATTAGATTTTTTTTTATTATTTAACTTCCCGTAGGGAAAGTTATAGTAATCGCAAAGAAATCGAAAATGAAAATTTTTATATATCTTTACGTTTCGAGGTTTCTGAACATTTTGGCATACCTTAAAAAAAATCTATGTATGTGTGTGTGTATGTGTGTACGTGTGCATGTGTGTGTGTGCGGATACAAATTTTCGTCGAAGATTTCGGGAACACGGTTCAACCGCTTTCAATTATTCAAAAAACATTCGATTGCTGTTGGTAAAGAGACGTGCGGATTAGTTTTTGGCATAGGCAGTTCTAGCCGTTTCTAAGATACGGGGCAAAAAGTGCCACAAACGGTAACTCAGTTCTCAAGAAAACGAAGCGTTCGATTTCAATAATTCAAAAAACATTTACATACGATTAATGAAAATTATAAGCCGATTATTAGTTTACAGGTCGATATAGTATTGATATCAATGTATCTTAAATTAGTAATCAAATACAAAAATTAAATAAAAAATGATACTTTTGTTATAGTTAAATTATGCAAGTTTTTAACAAGAGACTTAATGATTAACGGAACTGCTGCCGATGTCTTTATGTAAGAACATTTAAATATTGTATATTTATTTTATTTAAATATCTATTGGAATTCTGTATTAGTACAGCTGGAATTTGTAGATTATGCGATAAAAATATGAAATTTACTTATTTACTTTGAATATTTAAAGAAAAAAGATCAATACAAATTCGAACCTGCATATTACTACCAATAATAATTTAATTCTAATTTTTCTTTTTTTATAAGTGACGTACCAAGAACACTAATAATCTTATGTATTTAAAAAATTTAAACATTTTAATAGTTGATAGTAACATTATAAAAGTTTTGATAAATATAAATAAAGAACAAGGTTCTTAAAATCTGAATTAAGAAAATAAAACAAATTTGTCTTATTAAAAAAAGACAACACTTAATATGACATTGTAACCAAAAAAAAATAAATCTATTTTCGCTATCGAATAACTTTGCTATTAACTGAACAATTTTTGTATTTGAATATATTATAAAAACACAATAAAATTTGAAATTACATTAAAATAAAATCGTAAATTTTTGCTTCATAAAAATAAATAACTTTACCCTGGGTATAACACAAATTTATTCAGAGTAAATATAATATAGTGATATTTTGCCTAAAGGCATGTTACATAAACTACTCTGTATGTGTAAATAATATTTTATAATAATAAAATGCCCTAATAAGCACTTGTTTATTTACTACGTGCTCAATACATACGTAGTGTTTATTTAAATTTAAAATTAAACTACTTTTCGTTGGCCTATAATATTTTAGGATGTTCGTTAAGACCATGAACCCTATCCTTGTGCAAAGTTCTACTAAAATGTTATATTAAACAATTAATATCGTGAAAACGGCCCAGAAAATTCTTTGGGAGTCTCCATTAATCACGTGATCGATTTTTTGAATATTTTGGACCCCTTCCTTGTAGTGTAATTCAAAATTACCCCCTTTCCCCACCAAATATCATGTGTATTTATAGTTATGAGAAAAATTGTAAATATTCTGTTTTTTTAAAAAAAAAATTCAGGTAAAAAATAAATACACGTGGTAAATTACTATACACCTCCTTCCCCCACGTAATATTTTGTGATTTTTGTCAAACCCCCTTCCCCCTAAAAACCTCACGTGATTAATGGACACCCCCTTACCAAGAACTAATCACCACGATGACCAACTAATATCTTTGTGGAAGGTTTTTGAATTGACAAAATTGCTCAAAATTTTTGATGAAAACGCTGAAATAAAAATTTACTAGTACCCGTCTATTATAAAAAAATCAATGCAAGTCATTATCAATATATTTTTGGAACAAATATCTTTTACGCTTTTGAAATCGGTGCAGCAGTTTTTGAGAAAATGTCGACGAAAAATCTTGGTTCGCATACACATACACATACTTTTTCCAATTTCGGAGTCAAATTTCTGGTAAAATCAACTTCGCTAGGGGGAAGTTAAAAATGAAAGGAATAATGTAATCTAGAAATTGATCTAGTCTAGTCTAGTAAAATAGACCGATGTTATGACAAAATGCTATGTATTTGCTGTGCGATCAGGCGTTTCACGTCTCATATTTAAGACGCCTGACGGCACAGCAACCACACAGACAGTTTATAGTACCATTTTATATGAAAAACGCAGCGTAACATAGCCTTGCCATAACAGTCTATTTTATGGCAGAATTGGTCCATTAGTGTTAAGTTAAGCTTAACCAAAAATTTTGCAAAAAAAAATTTAATAAAAAAGACTAATATCAGCGTCCCATAGTTGGCCTAAATAACAAATCGACTCAAACCGTAATATCTGTTTGTTCCATTGAATCTATCTTGAAATTCTCAATACACGGAACAACTTTTGAACGAGGACATAAAAACTAAAATATGTAAATGTATTTTACTAGTGAACGTATAAATCCATAGTAATTCTCAAACAGCCAATGTGTGCGCTGGATAATTCGCTTTGCGGCTAATTTTAGCCACAAATCAACATCAAGGCAGAACGCGGGAGGGATTTTCAAAATGAAAATGAACATGTAACACATTCGGGTCATGTGCTCGTAACATTTACCACACAAGTCGATAATGTTGCTAATAATAAATAGAAATTGGGAAATGGACACATTTTTCCAGTTGACACGAAGAAGGAGTTATGGAAATCTAGAAGGTAGCTAGAAGAAAAGCGAGGTTTGTAATAAGAAAAAAAAAACAAGAATTAGTAGATGGATATTTTGACTTGAAGAAAGATTTATGGTAAACGAGAAGATTTCAGAATTGTGAAGTTTTTAGCGATGAATAATTTTTAATAATAAATCGAAATTAGTATATTTTCCCAATTGACACGAGAAGAAGAATTTATAGAAATCCAGAAAGGTAAATTTGACTTAGAGCAATTATATTTTGAGCAAACCAATATCACAACAAATATCACATATCAAACAAACAACTATCTGACCATGTTCAGTAAAACTCCCAGATAATTCGTCATTGTAGAAATGTGTTTTATTTATAGTTTTTCAAAGAAAAATTTTAATCCCATATTAGGGGTAAAATGGGACGGTTAGTTTAGGTGGCAAACAGATCCAATGTCTTATTTTTAATTTTAAAGAATAAATAAAATTTTAATTATTTAATTTATCTCTTGTAAAATTGCCCTTTTGAACTTAATTTTCTGTTTTATATACTATTTTTTATTGTTTACACCTTTGCCAGAGTAAAAGTTCAGTAGGTCCATTTTACCCCACCCACGTGCAAGCTATAAAGATGATATAGAAAAATACATTTGTTATGTATTTTTGTTTGTTGGTTATCTCCTAATAAAACCGTCATAAGAATTAAGGCGATGGGTGGTTATACATCACCCCTCTACTTACAGATA